CCCCCCCCCCCCCCCACCCCTCCTCACTGATGGCAAGTCAGTTCACAAGCTTGAGATGGCTAGCGTTTTTAAATCCCCCTTCTTTTTCAGTTTTTATTGACGACATTGCATAGCATAGAGTATCTCTGGTCAGTTTGGATCATCTGCTTTGTTTGTCTCTTCCCAACTTCTTTTGTACCCTTACATTGCTTACTGGGGGCACAGAGTGAGAAACAGGAAAGACCTTGACAGCATGAGAACATTATTTGACAGTAGCCACTACATTTGTGTGTCGCCATCACTGTTTTGGTTCCTAAATCTGAAACAACACTGTATGAGCTGCTATGGAGAAAATTAGCTTTATCACAGCCAGATCAAATTAAAAAGATGCGTTTTTCCTTTAAGGAATGCTGGGGGGGAAAAAGTAAAGGGGAAACTAAGGCTGGAAATCTCCAGAGACTTATCATAGCTGGCATGACTTTTCTGTGAATGTGTTGTGATGGTATGTTGTGCACTGGAATGATTATAGTCCTATTTCTGTCGCTTGTCATTCCCTCACCATTGAAGTCTATAGAAATGAGTGAAAGTGTGTTTTGTTACATTAGTGTTTCTGTTTTTCTAGGCCCAATTAATCGGGAGATGCGTCATCTCATCAGCAGCCTCCAGAATCATAACCACCAGCTGAAGGGAGAGGTATTGAGGTACAAACGCAAACTGAGGGAGGCCCAGTCTGACTTGAGCAAGGTATCCAATTAGAAAATGCTAGTAAAGAGCAGAAAATGCTTAGTGAAAATGTGGATGTTGTCAGTCCTTCCTTACCTGTAGTATCGGCTTTTCTGTTACGATGTGCAAGATGCAGCGCAATTTGTGATGGAGTTCCATGCTCTCCTCCTTTCCACTTAACGGATTGTCTTCCTTTTGTAGCCTTATAGAGCTCTGTGAACTTTGTTAGCAACGTCGGAGGAAATATGCGAACGAAGCTGGGGAAGACTAGTGTAGGCAGATAACTGTCATACAGGTTTTTGGCTGATAACCTAATATTTCAATCTCTGTCTTCTCTGTTGCTGTTCCGTGACAGATCCGCTCTCGCAGTGGTAGCGCTCTTCTGCAATCCCAGTCCAGCACTGAAGACACAAAGGAGGAGCCTCCAGAGATCAAACAGGAGCCTGATGACCCTTCTGCCCAAGCATCTGCTCCCAAAGCTGCTTCTGAAGAAGCTAGTGAAGTTAAGGCCAGGCGAGATGAAGAGGAACGGGAGCGAGAAAGACGGGAGAGGGAGAGGGAACGAGAAAAGGAAAAAGAGAAAGAGAGGGAGAGAGAGAAAGAGAAAGAAAAAGAGCGAGAGCGAGAAAAACAGAAACAGAAGGAATCTGAGAAGGAGAGAGAGTCCAAAGAGAAGGAGAAAGGGAAGCATGAAGATGGCAGAAAGAAGGAGGCTGAAGTGATCAAGCAGTTGAAGGCTGAGCTCAAGTAAGAGTTGCTGTTTCTCCCTTTCTTGTGTGAGTTATGCCCTAACTCAGGTGTTTATATGAGATCACTTGCAGCTCTTAGGTAATTTGTTCCTGAAATTAGAAGTTTCTAACACCTTCTGTCTGATCATGTTTTGCAAAGCATAGTAACATTTCACTCGGAATACCATGAAGCTTTAAAACCAAACCAGGTACTTCATACTGCATGTCAAGTTGCTGTCACTACAGTTGTGTAAAATTCTACAGCAGGATGTTACTAATGAAGGGCACAGTGGTCTGTCCTTCTTAGATCAGTACCAAAGCAGAGACGGATAGCTATTGCTTACTTCTAGGCTGCATGCTTCCTTCACCCTCTGTGTTCCGTTAGCTTTTCAACCTGTGTGTACCTGAATCTCTTCTTTGCAGCTTTTGACTTGCACTTAATAGAGTGAAATGAGCCATGGAAGAAGACACTACTGGGCTGCAGTGTGGAATACAGAGAAAATATTGCTGAATATATGATAATGTAGCTTTTCTGCTTTGTTCTCACAGTCCTCTATCTCTGTGTTTACAGGAAGGCCCAGGAGAGCCAGAAGGAGATGAAGCTGTTGTTAGATATGTACCGTTCTGCCCCCAAAGAGCAGAGAGACAAAGTGCAGCTCATGGCAGCTGAGAAGAAGGCTAAAGCAGAGGTAAAGCTTGTTTCTGTTGCCATTTTTTCCTCAATCACATTCTCCTTAAAACTTCTTTTCAAATACTCTGTATCTGAACTGTGGTGCCTTTGTTGTCAAAAGAGGTTATTTCTCTTCTCGCATTTGTCACTTACAATAGAGGCTCAATTGGTTTGGAGTTGAGAAGAAATGTTGATATGTCCTCTTGAAGGACAGTGTTTTAATCGTTGGTGTTAAAGGAGGTTGGTTGTTCAAAGCTGTTTTTAGCTTTCCATTTCTATTATATGTAGATTAGCCTTAGATCATTAAAAATTTAGAAAGACCTGAAGATAGAGTTAGGTGTGCTATTAGGAAAATGTGGAGTGTGGTCTTAGATCTTTTAGTGGATGTGGCAGGGAACATCACCCCACATATTTTAAATGGGTCTTGGACAGTGATTTGGAAATGAAATTTTGAAGTGTTCCATATGAGTGAAGCTGCAGAGAGCACTGAAAAAAGTTAGTGTGATGTTAGGAGGTGTTGTGAGTATGGTTTCCTCCTCCAACCACTCTGCTTCAGGACTTTCTTCTGCCTAGCCACTGGAGCCCAGGCTGGGGACATAAGGTCTCAGCTTAGGCTGAGAGATGTGGCTGCTGCTTTCCTGAGTGCAGGACAGTAGTAACGGTAAGCACATGTGTCAAGGACTTGCACAGAGAATACAAGACACAGACATTGGCAGTCAAGCAGATTGCCATGGACAAGCTGCTGCCTTCAGCAATGCCCACTTACTGGGCTCAAAACATAAACATGAATAGACATGCCCCTATATCTTCTTCACATGGTAGGGGTAAAAATCCACTGTGGAAAGTACACACATACACACAGCTCTGTCCAGTTTCACAAGTGTGCGTATTTTAGCAGATCCCTCCAGTACTTGCACAGCCCTTCTGTCAGTCTGGAACTTCTGCCTGCATCCCAGACCTCTTTACCCAATTCACAAACTGTCTTACCAAAAGTTGGCACTTAGTCCTTGCAGCACACATACGTGAGGCTTGGAAAGTGTGATCACAGTTAAGAAAGATACATGGAGGTACTGTAAGAAGATAAGCCAGACTGCAACGGTCAGCCTGATGACTGTGCTGACCAGCCTGATTTCATGCGCAGCCAAGTCCTTTCTGTCTACACCCCTTTGTTAATCTTGCTCCCCTTCCTAATGCTCAGTGGTGTTCAGAATTCTGATTCCTATAGTCTTCTTAGCTCAGGCCCCCAATGGTCCAGTCTTTTCCTTTGCAAAGCCCAACTTAGTCTTCCTAGAAGTAGCACCGCTAGTTTTTTGAAAGCCTAACAATTAGTGTGACAGACAAGGTTGGTTTGTTGTTATTGTATGCATGTCTGTTTTCTCAGTTCAGTGCCTCTGTGTATCTTGTTTCTGGCCTCTTCCTTTTTTTTCACCTTAGTTTCCTAGTTGGCAGGGTCCCTAGTCCTTCTTAGATTAAATGTTCTCATATTCCCTCATCAATTAGCATGACTTACCAGGTTTGGTTTCCTTGTTTTGTCAGTCAGGTTTGCGTTTCATATGATGGTTTCTTCTTTTTTCTTTTGTTCCCCCTTTTTGCACTGAAAAAGATGCTGGACCAGATGCCTTTGAAGGAGCAGATGCTCTTCTTCCACGTAGCCTTGCGTATACAATTGCTAGAAACAAGTGTCATTACTTTCATTAGGGTGTCGTTGAATTTTCCAAGGTTTTGAAATAAAGGTCTTAATCTTAGAGCCCATGTTAATGGTCTGTCTGCCAGTATTACAGTGTCATGTTGACATGAAATAGACTTTATTTTCCCATGCTTAGAAGGTGGTTTTTCTGATATTCCGAAGAACTGTGGGGAAAACAAGCACTTGAGAAAGCTCAGGCCACATTCTTGTATTTGGTGTCATTTCTGTCTTGTCTTTTCTTAAGCTGGAAGAACTAAGGCAGAGAGTGAAAGAATTGGAAGACAAGGAGAAAAAGGAGAGTAAAAAGATGGCTGATGAGGATGCCCTTCGGAAGATCCGAGCAGTAGAAGAACAGATTGAGTATTTACAGAAGAAGTTAGCCATGGCTAAACAGGTGAGTTTCTAGTAACTTCTGTCATGGCTTGTGCATTTGGGAAATAAGTGTCTTTAGTTTACTGCTAGGGAGACAGATTTTCTGTTGCCATATGTTTCAAAGATGTGTGTTACTTGTCCTTGTGTGTTGAAGGGGGAAAAACGAAATCTTAACAGCAACTATGGCAAAGTTCATGGCAGAAGTGGTAGGGAAAATTCAGCTGTTCGTGAAGCATGGGTGGAAAGCACAGAAGGGAACTGGCTGGGTCAGCATCTAGAGGGGTAGGGTGATACTTGTTTTTAATAATATTTGTACATGTACAGTTCATATAATTAATACATCTGTGTGGTGCTGTGGTATATCTTCTTCCACAAAAAAGGACATAATATAATGTTAATAGGGAAGGACTGACCTGAGTACAGGCAAGGCAAGCGAGTAATTTGATGTGTTCTTTTTTAGAATTTAAATTTTTTTCACTTTTAGTACACAATTACACTGTCTTGTCACTTACTCCTTTAATGATGAAGCATTGTGAGTATAAAGGGCTTGACAGCCTTTTAATTGGAAGCTGTTGAGTTGTCAACCTAGGGCATTAATTGACCTAGTTTGTGACAGCTGTTTAGGTAGCTGCCTGAAGTTGGTAGGTGGTTTCTGCCCAGCTCTAGCAATGACTGCAGCTCATTTTTCCCACCAGATAAGCGAGCATCTGTGAGTTTCTATGAAGATGAGCCTCTCTCCTCCGGTTTATAATTCAGGCCCTAGAGACTGATGCATTTTCCTTGATCTGTGTTAGTTCTGGTGTCTCTGTAGGGTATTCAGGATAATCGTAGTGGTACAGGAAACAGCTCTGCCAGAGCCAATGATTCTCTTGCAGGAGGAGGAGGCTCTGCTGTCAGAAATGGATGTCACAGGCCAAGCCTTTGAAGACATGCAGGAGCAGAACATACGACTGATGCAGCAGCTACGGGAGAAAGATGATGCCAACTTCAAGCTGATGTCAGAACGTATCAAGTCCAACCAGATTCACAAGCTGCTGAAAGAAGAGAAGGAGGAGCTGGCAGATCAAGTTTTGACACTGAAGACACAGGTAACTTGAGAGAAGGAAAGAGGACAGCCAAATGTGGGAGGGTGAAGTTATTGCAAGTTAACCCTGGTGGGTAGCTAAGACCCACACAGCTGCTTGCCTGTCTTCCCCAGTAGAACAGAGGAGAGAGGGGCAAAAGTGGGAATGTCCATGGGTTGAGAGAAAGGCAACATACTAAGTAAAGCAAAAGTTGCATGTGCAAGAGAAGCACAAAATTAATTCACTACTTGATGTTAGCAGGCAAATGTGTAGCCACTTCCAGGAAAGCAGGTCTACATATTGGTCATCTGGGAAGACAAACAACGTAACTCTGAACATGTTCTCCTACTCATCCTTCTTTCCTCAGATTTCATTGCTGAGCATAACATCATACAGTATGGAATATCTGTTTGTTCAGCTTAGGGCAGTAGTTCCAGCTGTGCCATTCCACAGCTGCTTGTGCGCCCCATGTCTACACTGGAGAGAGTGAGATAGCATGAGATGCAGAAAAAGCCTTGTTGCTGTTTATTGGCCCAAAATTCAAAATACAGTGCCATGTAAGTCACTTTAAAGGAAATTACTTCTATCTCAGCTGGAATTAGAACAGAAGGAAATGTTCCTCACATCAACTGAAGTATTCTGTATTGAACTTCAGGGCATCTGTCTCAGTAAGAAACTGCTGTATGAGTATAAACTGTCCTGCAGGTTCATTGTTATGAAGAGCAAGTGGAAGGAGGCAGTAAAGAAGCAGTGAACCACTTTCCTGTGGTTACAGTTCTTCCACATATGTGTTCTGCCATATTTGGAACCAAAGCAAAACTGCTTACTGTCTAGCAGCAATTCTGTAAGCCACCCACCAAAAGATGAATCTTTGTTGCAGGTGTTTGCTAGATTTTTAAAGCATTCGCTAGAGAGATCTGAATATGTAGATCTGATGGGTGTGCCAGTGTGTCTGTATCCAAGAAGAAAAGGGGAAGATAAAGAGACACCATCTTTAGTGATGGGGAGGTAGGGATAGGTTTTGCATGTAGTTTTAAGAAGACCTGTAGAGCATTCGTTTCAGTCCTTCTTTGTTGTCTTTCTCCTTTTCTAAAGGTGGATGCCCAGCTGCAGGTTGTACGTAAGCTGGAAGAGAAGGAACACTTGCTACAAAGCAGTATTGGAACAGGCGAGAAAGAACTTGGACTCCGAACACAGGCCCTGGAAATGAACAAACGCAAGGTGAATGTTTCTTTTTGGAGATGGAATTGTTGTCTTTTGGGAATCTCCGGGGTTTCACTGACATTATGGAACCTGATATTCCCTGCTTGTGAACTAGAATATCAGAAGGCTGAGGAGCAATGAAGGGTGTGCTAATTTAAGTGTCGTAGAGTTATGTTTACTTTTATAAAGATAAGCAAGGTGTAGTTGTTTCTGTGGAAGTCTTGATTAGGTAGGGGAACTTAGGGAAAAAGAGGTAGCAGCCATGTGTTAACTGAGAGGAGTTAAAGCTTTCATAGGAAAGATGAGGTCAGTAAAAGAAAATGGTGATTAGGGAACATGAAAACATTTCCTAAATGTGTAAGATACTTAAATGAAGTTGGTCTGTAGGCTAAAACTGAGAATCATGGTTGATCCAGCCATTGTTATCAAGGCTGTAGTAGAAATATGGGGATTACATCAAAACGGGTAAAAAGGAAAGCAGAAACATTGTTTTGAAGAAGAGAGAGGGGAATTCAGTGCAACTATGTTCTGAATTCTGAGGGAACTTAGCTAATAGATTTGTTAATGCAGGAACAGAAAGTGGTAAGAGAATGGCTCTGGAAAGAAAATGACCAAAAAAAGCCAAAAACCACCCATGCAAAAAAAAGCCTTATCTTGCAGTTTTGTCTAATTTCTCTGTAGATCTGTTTCTAGATTCAATAGGAAAAAGTGGAAATGGAAAGCTAAAAATACTGATAGTAACAGGGAATTTGAGGGGGCATTTATATTTTCCAAGTGAGATGCATTGTTATTTAACAAGTTGTCTCTGTTAAAGAGGAGAGTTCAAGCTAAATTATTAGAGCTTGTGGGCAGAAAGATATTTTGCTGTTTGAAGTAATGTTTAGGGAATGATTTCAGTTCTTCAGTTTGAATCTAGCAAAAGCAGACTTGAAAAAAAAAATTCATCTCCATTAGCTATAGAAATATTTTGTGAGCAGTCTTGAATTTACAGATAGAGGGACCAGAACTTCTTTTGTGTTTGTTAATTCTATGATGGTTTACTTTTTTCAGGCTATGGATGCAGCCCAGCTTGCGGATGATCTGAAAACCCAGCTAGAATTGGCTCAGAAGAAGCTACATGATTTCCAGGATGAGATAGTGGAAAGCAGAGTAACTAGAGAGAAAGAGATGTTCAACTTCAAAAGGGCTGAGGTATACTCCCCGTGCATAATCCTTCAATATGTTCCATCTGGTGTCTGCTCTTTGTGCATTGAAGTCAGAGTAGGTTTCAACTACATTAATTTCCTCACCGTTTCCTGGTTAACATTTTTTTGTCCATTTACTTGGGTTTCTGCTTGATAAAGTCTTGACTATTTCAGATCTTGGGCACTGAAAACTGATAATACAAGTAGCACCAGATGATAGGTACGACTTTTGGGATAAAAATATAGATAGACTGATATAGCTAGATGCACAGTTAGTCAGGGGCTGCTTCTGTTTCTTGAAAAAGCTGTGGAAAGAAGACATTGCTCATTTATTTGGTCTCTTTGTTTTTATGCAGGAAGACATTTCTAGGTTACGCAGGAAGCTGGAAACCACTAAGAAGCCTGACATGGTTCCAAATTGTGATGAGATATTGATGGAAGAAATCAAGGATTACAAAGTGAGTAGCTGTCTACACTTCTCTCTTGAACTCTGCTTTAGTCAGAAAGCTTTGTGTCACACTTCTGAGTATTTGACTTTTGTTATCTGAACTCTGGCACTGTAGATTTATTTTGCATTGAAAAAAGCACCCTTTCCTTAGCAGAAGTTGAAAGACCTTTATCTTTAGTCATCTTTTAACATACCTTCCACAGTCCAGCAGGCCCTAACTGTAACGTTTCCATCTTTCAGGCCCGCCTGACCTGCCCATGCTGTAACATGCGCAAAAAGGATGCTGTCCTAACAAAGTGTTTTCATGTCTTCTGTTTTGAGTGTGTGAAAACACGCTATGACACCCGGCAGCGTAAGTGCCCGAAGTGTAACGCTGCCTTTGGTGCCAATGATTTCCATAGGATCTACATTGGTTGATTGTTTCCTCTGGAATCTGAAACCTGCTGCTTACGCTGACCACCCAGCCTCCTTCACTTCTCTAACTGGCACCTTTGGGGCAGTCTGCAGTGTTCTTAGGGAATGCCTTTTTTTTTTTTTTTTTTTTTTTTTTTTTTT